ATTAACCAAACCATGTATGAGAATTAGTACCCCTACCTGAAAAACGTAAGGCCATTGGTTGCAAGTGGATTTTCAAAAAAAAATTGAACTCTGAAGGGAAAATAGAAAAATACGAAGATAGGTTGGTTGCAAAGGGTTTCATCTAGAAAGAAGGGATAGATTATGAGGAAACTTTTTCCCCTGTTGCCAAATTTCCATCCATCTGAATTCTTATAGCTATAGCAGCCCATTTTGATTTTGAGGTTCATCAAATGGATATCAAAACAACCTTTCTAGATGGGGATTTAGAAGAAGAAATTTACATGATCCAACCTGATGCATTTGAAGAGAAAATGAAAGAGAACCTAATATGCAAACTTAATAAATCTCTTTATGGCCTGAAACAAGCATCGCGACAATGGTATATAAAATTTTCAAGAGACATTTGCTCTTGTAGAATTCTCTACAAATAATGAGGATTATTGCATATACCAAAAGGTTAGTGGGAGTGATGTGGTCTTTATATCGTTATATGTGGATGACATGCTAATTGTTAGTAGCTCAATTGCCTTAATAGTAGAGACAAAAAAATTTTTTGCACAACACTTCGATATGAAGGATCTTGGAGAAGCTTCATATGTGTTGGGCATCAAGATAATAAGAAACATGAGAGAGAAGACTATCTAACTTTCCCAGGCAACATATCGTAAGAAGATACTGGAAAAGTTTGATATAAGTATGTGTAATCTCATGTCAACCCCAATTGACAAAAAAATGAAGCTTAGTAATAAAATGTCATACCGAAGATATGGATATAAGAGCCATAGAGAGAGTGTGTCATATAGGAGCACAGTTGGCTTATGTATGCCATGACGGGAACAAAGCCTGACTTATCCTTCGACATGAGTCTGGTAAGCCGTTTTCAAAGTAATCCAGGAGAGGAGCATTGAAAATCTGTAAAATATTTAAAGATGACCATGAACTATACGCTCACATATAAGGGGGAAACTGAAATAACAATAGAAGGATATTCAGATGCAAGCTATCTCGCGGATCCATATGATGCGAAGTCTACATCTGGGTATGTGTTTATGCTTGGAGGGGGTGTGGTTTCTTGGAAGTCAAAGAAACAAGATATTGTGGCCTTGTCCACCATGGAATTAGAGTATGTGGCATGCTGTCTAGCAGCCAAGGAGGCCGTGTTAATTAAAAAGTTTCTTAATCAACTTAATTTTTATCCTGTACATTGTGAGGTATTGCTAATTTTCTACGACAATACTGTGGTTATTAGTGTCTCTAAGGAGCCTCGGTTTCACAAGAACTCCAAGCTTATTAAGCTTTGTTTTTATCACTTGAGAAATGAGGTAAGATTGAAAGAGATCAAGATCAGCTACATATCTACAGATTTGATGATTGCAGACCCTCTAATTAAAGGAGTTGTCCCTAATGTTTTTGTAAGACAAGTGAGAGAGATAGGGATGAGAGAAAGTGAAGAAGAGATAATGTACGGCCTTCAAAGGCCAAGTGAAAGATGTTGGGTTTATGTGGCTTTTAAAGGCCTTATAAGTGTGTATTGAAATACTCTCATTATAGTGAAAACATAAACTTAGTGGGAGTGTAGTCCCTCGAGGACCATATTAAGCAAATGATGTTTTCTTATATCGGACTATGTTTATCGATCTAGGCCAGATGGTTGAAAAGCCCAAGGTACCTAGGTATAAAAAATTAACCAAGGAGGGTTTTAGGTTAGCCCTTGATGAGGTCGGAGCTTATGCCTAGATGAAAGAGTCGAGGGACTGTGTGACCCTTGTGTGTGATGGTAGGCCTACTGAAACGAGGGCCAAAACCTCATACATGTTCCATCACATGTCATGCATATTGATAGATCGTTCGGAAAAGCCAGTTATCCACCTTTCGGTGAAGCGTATGCATGTGCGAGAGATACCCCTATGCGCCATAGAGTTGTGGTCTCATCAGGTCGTGGTGACCTTGAATCATCTCTAAGGGAGGACCTGTAATCCACAAACTGGGATTGCGACTCCTTGGCTTATAGGCCAGACATTGGTGAGCCGCTAATGAACCCCTGCTTGGACTGTGGGTCATGAGAAATACTGGGTTGGGTTGATAAAGCAAGTGTGGTCTGTAGTTCGCAGTTGAAGGTGGAGTACCCTGTGATCGTTGATAGAATTCCTGAACTATATGGATCCACTTCCCATCATATTAGTTTAATTATGTTCATTTTATTATTAAATTATTTTAGATTTATTATTTGAATTTTTTTTATAAGTCATTTGATATTTTTTTTCTTATTTTTGAACTTATAACAATGAAATTATTAAAGTTATAATGTTTTTAAATTCATTTGTTTAATTTTAAAATATTTATTAAAAAAAAATACATGGGGGCCATAGTGTACATGGGCTCACCATGTAGGTATTAGGTGGGGCCCCACATACCTTACAAGGGTGGCACGCCCCACCCTTGGATACCTTCTCTTGTTGCTTTGTCTTCAAGTTTATTAAATATGGTAACTCTATTTTGTTGCATATGGTCAAATATTGATTAGGAAATATTGAGCATATTTTATCTTGATTATTGAAGGAATATTTTGATTTGATATTATTGAAATATTCTTATGGAAAATATGAGATGGAATATGCAATTTATGGTATGCATTATATCTTTAATGTATTTAATTTATTTAAATATATTGATGGAAAAATGGTTTAAGGAAAGAGGGATAATGGTTCATGCACCTTCCATAATGTTGATGGCCCATCTATAGAATGGATGGCTCAGATCTCTCACCCCACAAGTCACATTGATCAACGGTCCATATTCAATCTCAAGAAAGAGGCAAACTATATGAAACCCTAGACCTAAATTTCACCATAAATAGGGGTGCTCTCTCTCATCTCTACACATCTCTCTCTCCCATAATCTCTCTCTCTTAAACTCTCTCTCCTCCCTAGGGGCCACACCCCTCTCTCTCCTCTCAGGCTTTCTCTTTCTAACCCTCTCTCTCCTCTCAGGCTTTCTCAAGCCAAGTGTTATTTTTTTTTGGGTTAGGGTTTTGTAGAGATTTAAAGGTGGTTATCTAGTTTGGCCGAAATTAGCTTTCCCGGTTTGAGATTGAAGCTAGACCGTTGATCTCGCGTCATTGTCGCAGTGTGGGGTGTAAAAAGCCCGGTTGAGGTAATCTACGGCATCTTTTCTTTTATTTGTTAGTTCTTTTATTTTGTATTCTCAAGCACAGTATTAAGTTATATGAATGGCATCAAGTAGTTGAGATTTATTTTATTGATGTGTTATCTATTTTTGGAATTTCTATTGTTTGTAATAAAGCCATCTGTGAGTGATCTTGTTGCCAAAATTATAAAGGGTGATTATTATTAAAAAAAAAATTATATTTCTCCGACAAAAGATCATGTAGGTCTTTCTTTCATTCTGTACAGTAGGGGAGGTATATAAACCTTTCTGTAAAGTATATATCAACAACTAAAGACTTTCTCAATCAAAAACTGCACTATGCATAATGAAGGCTTAATTTTACAAAGTTGTTATTAGGATGGCTGTATATGTAAGTCCACGGTTTGGAAAGGGAAGAATTTGGCTGTGGTCGCATTAGTTGGTACTTTAAAGTGTTTCGAAAAACACCGGGTGAATTTAGATGTAGCTGATCTGAGATGGGATGGATGGCTACGTGATCCAATTCCCAACAGCATGCGGTCACCAGGTTCCCATCGATTTTCAATTTCCTATTATTAGTTTGTTGGACTGCCGACTAATTAGCCGATCCTGATTGACCCAGTGGGAGGCCAATTCGACCTCTAAACCCCTTTTTTGCAACATACATTGTACCGACGTTTGAAAAATTGGCAGTTCGTATCAAGAATAGGTTATCCAAATCAGATTCAATAGGTGACAGATTAGATCCAAGAGGTGATCAGCCAGCTCATTTACAGAATTTGGAAATTGATCCGACTAAATAGGAATCGCTTGGTTCTATTTGTGACCCATGTGAGATCGGCAGAATCATCCGGGTGAGCGAATGATTCTTAGAACTTCAAATATTTATTTATTTTTTAAATTGCCAATAAGGTTACATAAAGCGATGGCGTGTGAACGCATGATTGTCTTTTTAAGCCTTGTAGCTTGTATTTGTACTATTCTCCATCTCTTTTTTCTTTTATTGACAAGGAAATTACTTTTAGTAGAAGAAGCCACGATGAATTTCGCCCGTAAGATTTCAAATCGAATGATTGTAATAATGTGATTAAACTTTATTAAAAAAAATTAGGAAACCTTCTTTGCTTCAATTTTTTTACGATCTCCTCCAACCAATTTTTTACCACAACTTTTATCCCAAAACTAATTTTATAGTAAAGACCCACAAGTCAAAAAATCAAAATTTGAAAGATGAAAATACCCTCGTGCACGTTATATTCTCATGTAACGCCATATTCTCATATAACTGTCGAACCACAACAACAATCTCTCGAACGGCATGCAACTTATGCCGAACCGAGCCATCATAATACCAAACCCACAAAATTGCCTGATCGCATTTACAGAGACATCATAATTGCCAGATTGCAATTTCAATCTGCAGGACCTGGACGGATGGGATTCAACAATCAAAAGAAAGGCATTTTAGTAAAACATAACTGTCTTTTTTATTTAAAAATATTTGCTATAAAAGTTAGTTTTGATATAACAGTCGGCCTACAAAAGTTGATCGAGAGAAGTTATAAAGAAAGTTGAGTCCGGGGAGTTTTTGTAATTTTTTCAAAAAACTTTTTCAAATTTTGTCATTCACGACATTTCTAGATAGGGTTCTGGCCTCATCCACCTCACTATATGATGATAATAGTGTTATAGCATATAAACTCCATCGTCCCTATGTAAATGGACAGAGCTCTGTCCTAATCCAAATAAAATCTAGAAAGATTACGAAGAGACTAAGCGGCCGGGAAAATGTCAAATGTGAGAATTCAAGCGTCTGCAACGCATACCTGATAGGAAAAACAGTCAAAATAGGATCTTTACCTTGTTAATGGTTACTTCTTTACCCTTTCGGTGGGTAAAGAACAATTTAACTTAAATCCTCAAAGTTCCAGATAACTTACAGAGAGATCCAATCCATTCTCCTTCGTTTCCCCATTACAGATTTTCATTTTCTTTTTTGGTCAAGCCCCATAACAGATTTTCATAGAGAATCAGAGATGAAGGTTGAAAACACTACCATTGTTAAAAAGAAGCAAGCAGCTCATTATGCATAAACCCAAAATCAGGGAATTGCAGGGCTGAAATTCCTACAAGCTGACAATGTCTTCTGAGCTCCGCCCTGGCAAAAGAAGAAGGATGCAGGGCACCGCATAAAGCAGTTATCCACCAGACTCACAGTCACACTATCAGGCTTCAGAATCATAAAAGATGAAGGAATGGGTCCATACAAGTAGTTCCCAGACAGCAGAAGCCTCACAACTCCGGGCACCGCTGCCGCCTTCACGGCGTACTCGGCAGGCACTAACCCAGTGAAGCAGTTGCTCTCAAGAGAGAGTGCAGACAGCTTCGGCATCATGGTCACGAACACCGGCAGCAGCCCCTGTATCTTATTATACCCCAGGTCCACAGCGATCAGCTCACTGCTTGCCCCGAAGTTGCTAGGGACTTGCAGCTGCGAGAAGGCGTTGTGGGAGAGGGTCAGCTGTTGCAATGATGGGTGCTCGAAGAGCACCGAGGGCAGGGCGCCAGAGAGCTGGTTGTGGCTCAGGTCCATCACCTGAAGCCACTTCAGATCCCCTAAATTCTCTGGCAAATCTCCTTCCAATTTATTGTTCCTCATGGAGAGCTCCACCAACGATGGAGGCAGGCCGGCGATGCCGCCAGAGATCTGGTTATCGCTGGCATCGAGAAAGTAGAGATTGGGGAGGGCGCTCATGTCAGGGAGGACTCCGGAGAGGGCGTTGTTCTGGAGCTCAAGGCGACGGAGACCGTGAAATGCAGTGAGGCTCGGGGAGATCAGGCCCTGAAACCGGTTGTTGTCGAGGTAGAGCTCTTCGAGACTGGCAAGCGAGGAGATTGCCGGAGGGATCTGGCCCGAGAAGGCGTTGCGAGAGAGGACCAGCCTCTGGAGGGAGGTGAGTTTGGAGAGGGAGGAAGGGAGAGGGCCAGAGAGTGCGTTGTTGGAGAGGTCGAGGGTTTTGAGGGCCAGCAGCGAGCCAACACCAGGAGCCAGGGACCCCGAGTAGCCGGCTCCATCTAGGGTGATCTCGGTGACGCGCCCCTGTTCGCAGCGGAAGCCACAGGTGAAGCGTTCGCCGAAGAGGCTGTCGCAGGGGTCCAAGGTGAAATCCCAGGAGGCGAGGCAGGACCCTGGGGTTATGGATGCGGACTCCACCCCATCTCTCAGCTGCATTAGCCCTTGCACGTCTCCATCCAATGTGCCGCACTCTGCAACAACAATGAAGAGAGCACACCACAAGACTGTGGACCGAGCCATGGCGCCGATCACTGGGTTTTTTTCAGCTCAGTGCCACGCATAGAGAAAGGTTTTGCTGCGCACTGCTCTGTCTTGTGGCCTAATGCTAATGTCGGTCAGCACTCACAAGTCACATTTCAAGACAGCCCCAATTCGTAAGAGAAAGAGGGAACCGGGTTGGAGTCCGTCACTGTCTGGCGCCCCTGTCACCACTCGATTTATTTATGGGTGTGGTTTCTATAGGGCCGAACTCCTAAACAATCCAAGTACGGTGCACCCCGAATATATTATAAAACTTTGTGATGGGAAAATTTATTTTCATCTTTATTATAAAATCTAAAACTTAAAACATACGGTAAATCAAGCTTATCTACAAACACTTTGAAAATTAATCATCTATAAAATATATTATAAAATATATTTATTTTTAAATATTAAAATCTATTTTTTATCATGTCCGAGGTCCAGATCGTCAATTTGAAGATTGTTGTGCGCCTTAATTTGATTGTTTAGATCCCCGTACTTATATAAACTTTCCCCCTTTTGTTGGATTTTCTCCTTAGATTTGTGATTGAATAGCCCGGTCCAATCCGCTACTTAAGCTATTTTGTACCGGAGAATTGGAGAACGAAGGGAGACGAGGAACTTTTGGACCTTAGATGGTTAGGGCTGGGCGGTCTAGGGCTTGTGCAGTCGCTTGAGAGCTGACCCGGTTTGCTGCATCATGACCTTTTTTTTTTTTTCTTTTTAATTTGTTTTCATTTGTTTTTTTACCCAGACTAGCCCTAACAAGGGCCAGGCCTTGCCCAGTCCAGGTTGGGCTTAAACTGCCCTGTGGGTAGGAGGGTTAGGCCTGAGCCTGCCCTATGTGTGTACAGTCCAGGTTGGGCTTAAACTGGCCCTGTGGGTAGGAGGGCTAGGCTTGAGCCTACCCTATGTGTGTAGGCCTAGGCCAGTGAGCTTGTTGGCCCAGCCCGTGCCTACCCTGATATTAACCGTTAGCAGTAGACAGCGGTTTTTTTTTTTTATTATTATTATTTTTTTTTTTCATTAAGGAGAACAGACCGTAGACTTGCAATAAACAAGGGGGTCCATCTGTGTCCCTGTTGGCATGTGACCCTTATTATTGGATGATGTGGCGGGCGTAGGAAAAATGAACCTGGCTGGCATCCATTAACTCATTTTATTCTATCTGGATAGGAAAGACTGGTGGTTCAAGAATGGATTCTTTGTTATCTTATCTCCTCTCGTCTATTCTTTCGGTCCTTTTTAATACAAAAGAAATTCTTTGGAATGCTACCTCCTCTCGATGATCATGATGATAGGGATTGTATAATCCATTTATTTTTGATAAAAAATGGTTACACTTACAACCAACCATGTCAAATTTGATTGTTTGGAGGTGTCACAAAGTTTTAAATTTTTTTTTTGAAATTTTAACTTAATCAATGAAATAATTTTGCTATTGTACACCCCAATCACGGGTATTGTGCTCGGCCACATTCTAGCCGGTCGTAATTGTGCAAGGGGATTATTCCTTACAAAGGCCAGATTAATAATTTAGAGGTGGCAATGGATTGAGTCCGACTTGGGACTTGGGTAGACCCAATCCGAGTCCGGATATGGGTCCAAAAATTGAACCCAGCAGGTCGGATTTGGTTCCAATCTTGGACATGAATATTATTCAGATCCCATCGAGTCCAGGTCCGATGATATTTTTTTTGTTATAGTATATGAAATATAGTTAAATACATGAATATTTTAAATTTTAGGTTGGCTCTGGGTCCAGGTCCGGTAATTTCGTGTCCAGTCGGATCTAGGCGCCATATCATGTTTTCAAGTCCGGGTCCAACCGGACCTAGACCCTGTTGCCATCCTACAGTTTATGCCTATTTTTTAGCAATGTTCAAATGTACGACTCGGGGAGTCCAAGTAACTCAGCGTAATTGGCCTAAGTATGGTTCAAGCTAAAAAATGCTAAAAAGTACAAAAGAAATTAACAAAATAAGAAATATATGTGTAAAGTAATTTAAATAAGGTTAGGAAAGTAGTAAAAAATAGATTTTAAAAAAATCAATTTGTGATTGAAGGTGTTTTCAAAATAATCTAAACATAGGCAAATCTAAAACTAAGTGTTTATAGGCAAAATACTTCAAATCTTTGCCAAAAGGATAGAAAACTTAAAAAACATGTTATAAATAGATTTCTTATTTTTAAATTTTTTTTAATAATTTTTTTGAAATTCTTTTAAGATCCCCAAGTTGGACACCCAACTCGGGCATACTTGAGCTCCCTATGGGGGCAAACTAATGTCTCACAAAATTTACAAATTTACATAATTCTTTATGGTGTTAACATTAAATCAAAATCCATTGACAAAAAAAAAAAAAAAGGGCGGGACTTCATCACAGGCCTCATGAATCTAGCAAACACGACAGAGCAACCCTTCAATGGGAAAGTTTAATGGCCATATCCAACCATAGTCTATCAGACCACCCCATTTCGGCCTCTACTTTCATTTGGTCTCATAACTTAGTTTTGAGCCAACAAATGTCAAGAATGGACACGGTATTAGTAACACTGAAGGATTTCTAACTTTCTTTTCTTTATGATGCCGCTATGAACCAAGTGAAGACTTTTAAGGCTTTTTTTTTCAAATGCTATGACTTAATTTCAAGTGAAAACATAAATGTGAAGATGACTAATCTCATTGATGTTAATTGCATGAAAGATGAGATTAAGTATTACTCTGAATGGTTTGGCTGTGAGACTAATAACTCTTCCAACCAAGTACATAGGCCTTTGCTGAATGGAAGACCAACCAGTTGTTTAGGATCTTGAAATAGAGACATTTTAGTGGAAACTGAAAGAAAGATAAATGTAATCATATATATATATATTAGTACGGATGGTACTACTACTGCCAGTACACACCCTCCTGAGAAAAGTATAATACTCAAAGGTGCCATAACCCCATTAAGCAAAGGAGAACCACCACAATCTCTATATGATATTATTGCAACACCATATAAAGTCCTACCTAAAAAAATAGGTAAAAAACAAGAATTAATACCTCATATTGTGGAACAAAACAATTATACTAATTTATATATGCAATCTTTAGGAAAACAAGCAGAACGTATAGAACGATTAGTTACTCCTCAATCTAAGGGAATAACTCCTTCTCTTCCTAAAGCAGTCTGTTTAAACCACCTCCAGAACTCAATAAAAATAAATTCCACATCGGCGAAAATAATAAAACCTTAATGGATCAGTTAATAGCTAAATTAGCCCAATTAGACATTAAAGGAATTCCTTCTCCCAAACTCAGTATTCCTATACCCAATATACCTGTTCCTTTACCAGAATCTTCAGATAAGGGAAAATAAAAAATACCAGAGCATGAAACAATGATGCTCCAGGAAGTAGAACCAGTTATAAAAGATACCATACAAAACTAAGACTCTGCTTTTATGGATACTACACCTATTGATATAAACAAAATCGCCTATGGTAAAACATGGAAACCAATCACAGCTTTGCCATATTATAAGAGACCTACACCTGTTGAAGTACAGCTTGAAGAAGATGCCATACAATAAGCTGTTTCATATTCAGGAAGATCAATAGTGAATTGGACAATAGATGGTTTATCCGAATTAAAAATATTAGATGTCATGAGACATATGACAATGTTTGCTTCAGCAAACAAACTGGCAGGCAATCCAGACCAAGAGGTTGCTAAAGCAATAGTAAATGGATTCACTGGCTGGTTAAGAGGCTGGTGGGATTTCTATGTGGATGATGAAACTAAAAATAGAATCCTTACCAATACAAGACAATGAACCGCCAGAAATGAACAAAATCAAGAAATAATTTATACTGAAAGTGATGCAGTAAACACCTTAATATATATCATTACATTACATTTTGTAGGAAGTACGTCCTTATTGGCAGCAAGATCAGAAGATCTGCTATCTAATCTTCGTTGTCCTACATTATCCCATTGTAAATGGTACAAGGATGTCTTTTTCTCAAGATTATTAATACGAGAAGATTGTCAACTAGACCATTGGAAAGAAAAATTTATTGCTGGTCTACCCTACTTATTTGCAGAAAAAGTCAAAGATAGACTTAGAAAGAAACATAATGGAATTATAGTATACTCAGCTTATACACTTGGAGAACTCTCAGCAGAAACATGTGCTGAAGGATTAGCTTTATGTACTGATCTTAAACTCAAAAGACAGCTAGATAAACAGCAAATTACCAAACGTAAAGAACTTGGTGATTTCTGTGAACAATTTGGATACCATTTAAATAGAAAAAATAAACCTGAAAAGTTATATAAGAAAAAAAAAATATATAAAAAAGATAAATATAAATCCAAATCCAATAAAGTACATAAACAATATAAAAAGTCTAAACAAAAATTTATAAACAAATTCTCTCCAAATACAAAAAATAAAAGAAAACTTCCAGTATGTTATAAATGTGGAAAAATTGGTCATTACAAACACCAATGCAAATTAAAAAAGAAAATATAATCATTACACTTAGATGAATCAATCAAATCAAAGTTATATAATATAATCAACTATGATTCTATCTCTTCAGATTCTACTGAATCACATATAGAACATATCCAAGATGATGACCTTTTATGGACAGAATCATCTGATTATTCAGATTCTTCTACAAATATAAAATCATCCCATCCAATGAACGAATCTAATTGTACATGCCCAATACCTACACATAATCTTCATATGCTTACCCAAGAAGATAATCTAATATTAGATCTTATTGAAAAAATTACAGATCCAGAAGAAAAAAGATCTGTAATCACCAAATTTATTACTCTAACTAAAACAAAAGCAAAAACACCTCCTATTAATAAAACACCCGATGAATACAATTTTGCCTCTATAATGAAAAGAGTAAGTGAACAACATAGTATTCAACACAAAGAACCTTCTATTTCTAACTTAAAACATGAGATCAAAGAAGTTAAAAAAGAGGTTCATCAATTAAAAAACTGAATTAAAACTCTAGAATTACAAAATTTATCTCATCAAGAGTCCAATACAGATGAAGTAGAATTCGATCAACTTATTACAACATATAGTCCTGATCCACCGGAAGATATACCAGAAACCTCAGAAGCTAAACCACTTCTGGTAACAATTCCTTCTGTAAATCTGATAGATAAAATTATGATTC